ATTTGGGGTGAAGATGCTGACAAATTCAACCCTTTACGATGGGAAAAGGGGGATCATCTCGGAGGCGCTTATGAATACATGCCCTTTTTGGCTGGCGCTCGTCAATGTATTGGCAATAAGTTTGCAATGCTGGAAATGAAGATACTCGTAGCTATTCTGATTCGCCATATCCAATTCTTTGAAAAGCCAGGTTTCGAGGTGAAAAAGATACAGGTGATAACTACAAGACCTATTCCCAATGTCACTCTTTGGGCAAAGCCTGTTGCATTATAATCATTTTCTCTTCTTCTTTTTTTTTTTTAATAGCTAATGTAAACAATAATAATACTAATAAATCTTGCTATAAACTATTTTATGATATTTATGTATTTTTTATAATGGATCAAACATATGCAAAGCTGTATCAATTTTATGTGCGTGAAGGTGGAGAGACCTAGAAAGGACGTTGGTAAAGTCGTTGGATATTCTTTTTTCTTATCTTACCAGAATGACGCCATCACCACGAACAAAAAGCATATCAAACGTTCTCTTTACTGTCTATTAAGAAACGTATTATTAGTAAGTTTATAATGACTGATTCTAATGTTTCTTCATTGACATCAACAATGGTAATTGTTTCTTCTACATCGCCCAAAACCATGTTTAAATGTCCATCATAAGCCTAATTTATGGATTAGCTGCTGAATTAAATCGTTTCTGTTTCTTTTTTTTACGTGTAAGACACCACGTAGTTCTCTGTCTCCTCTTAATTTAACATAAATGCGTTCATCTAGCGAAAGTCTAACGAGATCAAGTGGCTCTTCAACAGCACCAAGATCAGTAGAAGGTGCATTTGTCACTTCAGCCATTTTTATTTTATTTTTAAAAGAGAAAAAAGAAAAAGAAAAAGAAAAAAAAAAAAAGACACAAATAAAGCTTTCTTCACAGTTTACTTTTTTTTTTTTTCTTTCTTTCTACTCAGCGTTTCCGATGTCAACTACAACTCCACTATGCTAAGTTGGAAGTGCAAGCTATTTGCTTTTTTTTTTTTTTTACTTAAAAGATAATTCAGTGTCTTTATTAAATAAGGGTCGGCGGTTTAGAGATTGAACTATGTCTTACTGTAAATAAATATCCAGTTTTACCTGACAGCCTTTATGTGAGCAATTTGAATTTGCATCCAAGTGCTGACTTTAAATTTAACGGAACTATTGTTTATATAAAACATTCTGTCTTCCATGTTCTATCTTTTTCTTTTTTCTTTTTTCTTTATCAATGACTTCTTTAGACACATTAACTGAACATCAGAAAGAAGTATTAAACCAATACCAAGTAAGAATAATATACGACACTACTTTATGGTGTATTGACTTGGTTTTCAATAGACCATTACAGAAACAAAGAACCTAGATGAAGCTTTAGGTCAACTTATTGAACATGACTGGAATTTAGAGGTACTAAATAACAACATCTCCTCCCTTCTTCTACATATATCTAATACTTGTATAAAAGAGAGCCATTGAATCTAAATATGAGACTAGCAATATACAAGAACATAGAGAGCAATTGGAACAAGAAGTTGCTGATAATACAACAGGAACGATAAGGAGAAGAAAGACAACAACAACAACAACGGCAACGACAACAACAAGAGCAAGCACGTCACGACCCAATAGTATACCTTCTTCTTCTTTTAGTTTTATATCTATTTTATTTTGGCCATTTGGTGTTGCATGGAATATCACCTGGTCTATTCTTTCTCTTGCATGTAAGATTATATTATTAATTACAAAGAATGCCTGTTTATTTATTCATTAATATCAGCACGCATTCTTTCTCAACAACAATCCATCACGGGTGGCCGTCGACCTCCGAGAGATCCTCGAGTACTCGCGTACGAGTTCATTCAAGCATTTGAACTCAGCTATGGCCAAACACACGTCGATTTCTTTCAAGGTGGTTATTCACAAGCATTAGAAAAGGCAAGAAAGGAATTAAGGTTCATGCTGGTTGTTTTGCAAAGTGATGATCATGATGACACAGAGCTGTTTTGCAGGTAAATTGATTCGTTTATCACTTTTTAAATTCTTACTTTTTTTCAGAGAAACATTGACATCAAGACAATTGATTGACTATGTTAAGGAAAAGAATATTCTTGTATGGGGAGGCAATGTAAGAGAAACCGAAGCTCATAAAGGTAATAGATTTGATCATTTAACAAACATGGATTGACTTTCTTGTTTCAGTCAGCTATACCTTGCAAGCAAGCACATATCCATTTTTGGCTCTCATCGCACTTCAAAAGCCGCTAGGAGCCTCGACACCCAAGATGACTGTGATTGAAAGAATGGAAGGACCCTGTCGAGCTGAAGAGTTGGTGAGTCAAATTGATGCAGCCATCGATCGACACGGTGCGGTTGTGAACAGATTGAAGAATGAGCGAGAACAGCGTGAGATGGAACGCCGATTGAGAGAAGATCAAGACAGAGCCTATCGAGAAAGCTTAAAGGCTGATCAAGAAAAAGTAAGCAAAATGATTGAAAGAGTGACAGATACTAAAACCAATGTGAAACTTAGGTAAGAAAAGCTCAAGAAGAAAAAGAAGCGTTGGTAAAAGCAGAAGAAGAAGAAAAGCAGAGACAAAGAGAAAAAGAAATTCAGAAACAAAAGAATGAAGAATACATTCGGTATTTGTACACGCATCTACCTGAAGAACCCAAAGAAGGAAAAATGACCAAACTAAGTTTCCGTTTGGCCAATGGTGACCGTGTTGTCCGTTCATTTAGTGAACATGATACTCTAGATGTAAGCTTTGATGAATCATTCAACATAAAGCTCACATATTTTTGTATAGACACTTTATAGATTTGTAGAAGTTTACCCATTACTGAAATCAAACGAACCAGTAGAGCCTTGTGAGTTTGCTCCTGAAGACTATGTCCATCAATACAAGTTTACGATTCATAGCCCTTACCCTCGAAAGGAGTATGAGGCTGACGAGCATCAGACATTGTCTAATATTCCAAACTTATGGCCAAGTGCCACCTTAGTTGTGGATGCTGTTGATGACGAAGAATAAATGGGTTTATTATTTTTACATGGATTGATGTAGTACAAACTATGGTCTACATAGAAATTTATCCACGGTATCCTTGATATCCGTTCTCATGTCGTCGTCATTTTTAATCACACGCAGTGCTTGTTTGATTGTAAAAGAGCGGGGTTGAGCATAGACAGTGAGAAGTTCAAGTAGACGCATCATGGCATGTTCATCACAATAACCTCTTGGGTACTTGGTAAAGAAATCACCAAAGACACGAAGAAAGATGGCCTGTTCTGACCATGTGCCTACCAGCTGCACAGGTTGACCTATCATATTCTGAATTGTCTTGAGTTGATACTTTCTGTCCCCTGTAAGTTCACTGGTACGAAAGGCTTCATCAAAGAGAACGCTCAACACTGCCTGCCAGAGGGAAGCTCGAGCGATAGGGTCAAACTGGAATAAAGGAGCGATCTTTTGATACTCTTTGGGGTATACTTGAGCCAACTTGATGATAGGTCGTAAGTTATCTGCGATATTAGTGATGATGGGGAAAAAATAGCCTTCTTCTAATTCTTTTTTCCATTGTGATGTGCCCTGAGAAAATGAAGTGAAAAAGTCTTTGAGGATGTTGCCTTGGACGTCGACAGGTTTAAGTGAGTGAGTGATAAGTGCAGCATAGCCATCAAATGGTATATGTTGAATAGACAAGGTAGATCTGTCATAGGGGATGGATGATCGGCGTTCTCTCTTTTGTGTATATTCTTGTTTCCCATAGGTCTGAATGAGGCGTTGGATTAAACAAGGAGGCACCTTTGCACCGGCATTAAATAGGTACTGAAGGAAACGATGATCACATTGTTCAGGTATAGTAAGAATAGTATAATAGATGGCGAACCGTGGACCAAAGCGTGTGATCATCCAGGCAGCCACTGAGCTCGGTTGTTGAGCAATACGCCTGAATGACTTACAGGTCAAAGCGAATGCTCTTCTGCATTGAGGACTATCCAAGTGTTGATAAATGCCAACTAAGAGCTCTTCAGGAAGTCGAGTAATAAATGGCTGTTTCATAGCCTTTGAACTAAAACTACGCTTGAATCGTTTGAATAAAGTCATTAAAGAAAGAAGAGAAGCCAAAGAAAGTCAATCCTTATATATACAACAACTATTATATCCACGTTGACATAAATCCATATTTTGATTGGTCAAAAGAGGGGATCAGCATAAATACTTTATTTTGATTCGTTGGTTTCAATCCATTGCCTGATCCAAGGCCAAATTTGTTTACGTGACATTTTAATATTTTCTTGCTGATAATAATTGTCAAACAGAGGTTTCAATCCAATGTCTTTTGATGCTTCAAGGCTTTCTTGAAGTGGTCTCAGTTTCTCATTGATCACAAACACGGCCAACTGTCTCTGATAGCCTCCGTTCTGTCCATGATCAAAGGCAGTAAAGATCACCTGCAAGTCTAGTTTTCTTTCCTTGGCAAACTTGAGACTAGTCTCAGTAATCGATTGATAGCCATGGTCTCTTTCAGTCCATGCTTCAAAGTACCAATTGACTGAACTTGTTCCTATTCTATACGGCCCCACTTCAAATTCCTTGTAATCACGTCGTAAGATATGCTCCGTTGGCATCTCACTCACTTCACTCTTGATTCTCTCAATCTCTTTAAAGTAACCTGTCGTCTCTACATGGGTCTTTAATCTGTCAAACACTTGTACATCCAAATCTGTCGTTCGTCCCAGTTCCCATCTCAAGTTGACTGTGTCTGTCAACAGCGGTGCCGCGGCTAATTTGGCTAGGGTTTCATCCAACTGTGGGTTTCCAAAATGATCCAAAACAAGAGACACACAGGATCCAACCATACGAATGACGCGTAAGGGTGCATTCAGATAAAAACCTTCATCTACATGATGATCCAAAACACCAGTGACTTTCCATTTACAGTTATCATCAAAGGGCCGTGTTGCCCTGTTATGGTCAATCAAGACCACGTCGCCTTGACTTGGTACTTGTTCCAAGCAGACCAATTGTTGATAATCAAGTCCTACTTGATTAAAAACATATTTTAGTTCTGGCCGAAGCTCTAAATCAACCCGAGGCACTTTTACAACTGGAACATATGTCTTGGTTTTATCTCGAAGGTTGCTAAAGTACGCAAACAAGAGTGAGGATATGATGGAATCGAGATCTACAAGATAGAATGTTCAAAATGACACATATATTTTCATTAACCTTTTTTTACCTGCGGAATCATTTCCAGAGACAATCACTCGAGGTTGTTTATCAAGTGAAGAATGTAGCTGTGCAAGAAATTCACCAATTGACATTTAGGTTGAAAAAAGAAAAGAAAGCAAAAAAAAAAAATGCATGTCGAAGCTTAGGTAACACAATATCCTTCAACCACTGCTTATTTTTTTAACAACATATACATTCCTTTTATATCCTTTCATAAACCTCAGAGAGAGAGAGCATTAATTTGTGTGAACAAGATTAAAGCTATCACTCATTAATCTCATTTGTAGATCTATGGAGAGAGCAAACTATCAGCAGTACCTTTATTATCATAGCATTTGGGTTACTAACATCCCGAATTTGCATTCTTCCAAAGTGATGCTGACTGGTTTTTGGAGACTGATAGAGTAATCTATAGAACAATAAGTTGATTGTACCTTATCTTGTAACTTTAAAGCTACCACTGATCTGTGGGCGCTGGGATTAAACATCAAAAGGGACTACAAATAACAGTCACACGGTGGCTCAAGATTTTAACTTCTTTCTTTTGACAGGGTCACAGACATTCCCTTTTTACAACACAAAGCATGTTGAGTCGTCTGTCGTCATGTCGCTCTGGTAAAGAGAAAGAAAAAAGAAAGACAATTACTTGACACTAATTCTTTGCAGCTACTAGCAGCGTCTTCAAACACGAATTCCACAGTTCAGCTGCTTCCTTTGCCAAAAAGCACCCTAAACAAGTCAAGAAAGAAAATCTTGCCAAGCGAGCAGCCAAAATAGCCGAACTCGAACGTACAAAGCCTTCCGTTATTGTCAGTCGGCCAGCCCCCTTTTTTGAAACCCTTTTGACGCCAGCCGATGCCTACCAACAGCACAAAACTGGATATATGCACTTCTTGGACGAAAAGGACCAACAGTTTTTATTTGAAGAAACACCTAAAAAAGTAGTGGAAGCTAGTCATACAGCCGCTGTTGACGGTATGGAATCAGCATTGAAGCAGGAACAGGACAAGGTGGAAACATTACAAAAGATCATTAGTCTTCAAAACGGAAATGCAAAGGCAGTACAGATCTACAATATTCATAAAGCCATCGACTGGTTTAAACGAAAGGAAGGAGATACTGGTAGCCCAGAAGTGCAAGGTAAGATGCGATACGACTCTCATATATTCTTCTAACTCTTATTCTTTTAGCTGCTATCCTGACTGTTCGTATACATAACTTGAATAATCATTTAAGCCAACACCGTAAAGATAAGCATAATTACAAACAGTTACGTACTATGGTTCATGACCGTGCAAAGATCTTGAAATACCTCAAATCAAAAGATCCTCAAAGATATTATACATGCTTAGAACAATTAGGATTACAGCCCAGAGCTGTTGAAGGAGAAATTACTCTGTAAAAAAGAAAAAGAATAAAACACTGTTTATATAAAGAAAAAGGACCTAATTAGAATAAAGTATTTACAATAACTCTTTTCTTTATCTTGATGAAACAATCGAGTGCATTCTAAAGCGAGATTGACATCTTTCTTTGACAGTGGCTCTATACATAAAAGGTTGCTTTCTGCCATTGTTGACTCCTTGCTGTGGATATGCATCTACTGCATTGACTATTAGATGAGTGATTGAAGCAGCTATAAGGTGGTGGACAAAGATCCGGTAGATAAATATAGAGTTGAAAAATAATACTGTTTGCATCGTTAAACTGTGCTTGTACCTAATGTAGACAATTATTTACTGCAAAAAGAGAATACGTGTTATAGATTACCACCCGGTTGTATTCCTCTTCAAACTTGTCTTTTAAACCCGTCAATTCTTGGGGCGTCTGAAAGTAGTGACCATTTTGTAGAATGAGCAACAAAAGTATTTTGGCTGCAGAAAGTGAGATAGATGAGATATCGTCCTATATATTCTCTTTAGCTTATTTAACCATGCATTCTTTGATCTTATTTTATTACCTTGTATGACAAGATGGATCTCTGTCGCTTTTGTGATAATGGTTTTTCATGAAGCACTAGTCTTGGCACCAAATATGTGGCAATAAATTCAAGGGTAATTGTACTATTTACTGAATTGTCCATTTAGCATTGTCATGGATTAACCTTCTTCAAGTATTTACCTGAATGGCTCTTGAGAGATGCAACAAGCCCACTTATCTCTTGATATGCGATAGTACCAGCCTCATCTTTCATTGTATGCCACTAATTCATCAGATAAATAGAGGTTTAGCTATCAAAGAATTCATGCCTTCCTCTCCCCCCTTTTTATTACTCTTTGCAATATGTCAATCAGCTTCTTTGTTTGACAAAGCATGTCATCTAATTGCTGGTCCACATTCAAGGATTCAACTTCTACTATTGCTTTATCTTCTTTGGCCCTAGGTCGTCTTAGACGATCGTAGGTATACCAACAACAATTAAGGGATAACTCGTACGCAGAACATGAAAGTAGAGTAGGTGATGCACTGTGTTGTCTATGTCAATTTCGTTTGCCCTTACATTTTTGTCATGACTTACCTGTGTTTTTCAGTCACTTGCACAAAAAGAGGCACAAGTGTATACACAAAATCAGCATGATCTTCTTTTATGATATATTTCGCGTAAAGAAACTGTAGCAGTATTACTGCTGCTAGTTGATCACGTTTATTATCATTCAATAGCTCTTGATAAATGAATTCTCTTGCTGTAGATTGATGCTTTGTTGAATAAAGCAGAAAATAACCAATGATTCTCATGGATGATTCATGTTGATGGCTACGCTTTAAAAACTAGTTTTGATGATGAAACACTGTATCTATACAAATATGTGTATTGTACCTTTTCTTTCAAAGGTTCATAGACATGCTTAAACTTGTTGGTTTCAAGATATCTTTCTATTGATAGCAAAGCCTTGATGGTAGGTGCTATTTTGGACACAGTTAGAAGCAGAAAAAGAAAGAGAGAGGTTGATATAGTTACACTCTCCTACTTTTACAGAAAGTTCTAATGGACTTGATTGTCGAATGGTTGAAATAGCTTTGTCAAACACTTTTCCATGAACATTGGCTAGTAAATGAAGTGCTTTACTCAGAGGAATATCAGGTATTGTTTCTTTATGTAGTTTCTCTAATTCGCTCTCTGATTCACGTTTCTTTCGGTTCAAGAGGAAAATGTCTGATTCTTCCTTATCGATATGCAATGTTGTCATTTTGTAAAGAAAAAAAACAACAGTGCTTTAAGGCTCCGTTCTTTGATATTTTCTAAAGACAAACATTGTTATTGTAAGTTAACCTTGTAACTATTAATCGAGATTGGTCCCCTGAAGGGCTCTATTGATTATGTTCTAAGAGTTTACTGCATTCTCTAAGGAGGACCAATCACATGCACCGCGTGCCTGTATTAACAAATACCTCTTTGGAAATCGTGTAAAATATTGTTTGCGTAACCATTTTACACATTTTTTTTTTTTACCATGACAACATATACACCAATTGAAACGCCTGTTGAAGTTATCGCATTAAAGTCATTCCCACACAGATCAATTACACAATTTGTCACTACGGATAAGCAATTTACCACACAAATGCTTGTTGCAGCTGAGAAGCTTATCTGATTGTACATGCATTAGTCATACGTTCATGCAGGCTTGAAGTAACATTCTCACAGCTTTTCCAAGTCACCTTATGAAGCTTGACCTCCGCCTTACAAGATAAGCGCCGCGCTTTTATATTTAAAAAGTGTAACATCGTTTCATATTCCATCCAAAGTTATTTATTGTTTAAAGAAGTTCTATCAAGCGCACTTGCCCTATATAAAAGCGTGTAACGTTGTAATGTGACCTTAAAATAGTATGGGGGAGCAAGAGGACATAATGCTCTAGAACAAGCTAATGATTGTAATACCAAAGAGAGACAATTTATTTTGCCTTTTTGATTAAAAAAAGGGATACATTTTTATTGTCTAACCACTGTTACTATTATCAACCATGCTTATTTATTACCAATAGATTTATCCTATGAGGAAACATAAAAAAAGGGAGGAACAAGATCTTTAAACTAATGCTTGGTACTTTAGCAACTTATACGAATAATAGAATAATGTTGGCAAGATGGGGCAGCTTTTACATTATTATTTAGCCTTTTTTTTGTATCAATTAATGTTTTATTAAATCCATTATTAGATCTTTTGATTATTTTAAGCGCATGACCAAGGTCAGCAGTTTGATTATATTTTTCCTAACCAATGAAAAACTTTGGTATAGAAACCAATTGATCCGTTAAAACCTTTCTTACGCGTCCTTTACAACTATTTTTCAAGAAAAGTACACGATATAATATGCAAACTGCCCATTTATACAATCCTTAGCAAGACTCGTCATTAGGGATTCTATAAACAAATATTAAGCAATAAAAAACCTCACTAGCTACAAATGGTTGTATTCATTTTCCTTTTTTCCCAAACAAGTGAATAATCTGCGCGTACGACAGTTCTTTCAGATTGTGAAATTTTTAAAAATTTTTGGTTTGTGTAATCTTGAAGTATACGTAAAAGGACAGAGCCGACAGGACGGATTTAGATCGTAGTTACCAGCGAATTACCATTCAAATAAGCGGACATATCCAGATATACATGGTGATCCTTTTCTACCATCGTCGATTGATCCATCGTGTCCCCAAAAAGTATATGAATTAGTAGCTGAGTTCATAAAGTTAGCACGATCCCAGTTATTAAAAAAAGTGACCTTCAACTCCTGTTACACACCCTTCATTCTTTCTCGCGCCTCCTCTTTTTTTTTTTCTTACCAAGTCCAAGTCCGCAGCTAACCTGTCGATACCTTTTTTACATTTGATTTATTACTGAATCAAACAGCATCGCCAAAGAGGCATTGAAAATAAAAAATGTATATTTATTCCACATGCAATTGGGATGGAAAGAAGGCGGGATCAGATAAATTTTTTGTGTTGGCATGTGACTTGTCTGAGCTGTCAATAACTATAAATGGCGATAGCCCTTTCGGTTAACAGAATAAAAACATCGACTCAGTTCTTACAGGGCACTCAATCTATAGCTGCCATGGTGATGCCTGAGCTAGAATATTTATTGTAAAATTCACTTCATTAAGCGTTTATTTTTTTTTATAAAGACAGTGGACGTTAAGGAACAAATGGTGATCTGGGCTCTAAAAAAAAACGCTCGGGATTAAGAAAATATTAAGGTGATTTTTTTGTAGTCAATGCACTTTAAATCCGCGCGAAAGCCAAGACAGATGGTCAATGAAGACGAGGAATGAGGGCTCATCAAGTCATGCAAGGATATGCAAGTGTATGCAGTAATACATTTGTTTGTTTTTCGATATAAATGCTTCAATTAACTCTTTTTTTCTCTCTCTCTTTTTCTTCTTTCTTTTTTCTTTTGTACACTACTTTAAATACAAAAATGGAATATCCCTAACATCGAGCTCCGGATACGACGCCTAGTGTAGAAAAGCAAGATGTTATTACTTTTTTTTTTGCAACAACTACAGCATACAGCAATGATTTATATGTTTATCATTATTTCCTTAAAACTCTGTGCAAAAGACAAGTGATATGCTTATAAAGATATATTTGTTTAATACTTTTCGAAAAGCAAATATTAATGCTGTCAAAAATGTCCAATTCAGGTAAAAGACAAATCACCCAATCGGAAAAAAAATAACGCAATTAGTCTTTAGATGCTATTTTCTACAAACTAAATGATTGGTATGATCTCTGCCAGCAATTTCATGCCAGACAATCGATGATATTGATGAAAGCAAAGTAAGACAGGATATACGAAGCTCAGGGTTACAATTCAACCAAGCAGCTACCTAGACACGCTTCACCTCGGTTGATTTGTTCATTATAGTAAAACCAAGATTGATAAAAGACATGAACTGGATAAATAAGCGTAATTGTCAATTTGAACAGAAGAAAGAGGGAACTGGGGTACCTTTACACAAGACCAAGTTACAAACAAGACAGAGTTAATGACATCATGAATAACTACCGCTTTCATCCATGCTTGTTGCTTTCTTTACAATTCTTTTTTTTTTCCCTCATTTACAGCTCAAGCAGCCATTCTTCACTATTTTTGGCTATTTTGCAGGCAGTGTAGACTGAAATATTTTTCCTATACTTGTTGCACCAGAGGATCACAGAAACTTTAATTGAGCTTCCGAAGTAACTTTGAAGAAGTAGGTTTAAGCGTTCAAATTCTACTATGCCTCTCTTAGTTAGCATAAGAACGCATTTTTTTTACGTGTATTATCCATGCGTATACATCTATCACCTTAATAAGATAGAATTAAAAGTTTACAAAGAGAGAGGCGCCATTGAGATAAAGAACAGACAGAAATAAGATAGTGGGAGAATCTATGTTTATTTCTATATTTGGTGCTTATTTCTGTTTTTGAAATCTGATATTGAAGGGTAATAAAAAAAATCATTCCTCGTTTATGTTAGAAAAGAGATAGAGATAGAGAGAACTTCCTGACTTTAGAATAAATCTAGCAAAAAAGAGAGCAATGTAAAGAGTTACACTAAAAATAAACCCGACTGGAAGAGTATAAATAGTTTTGAATAATTGGTTGCCATAAAGACAATCATCCCCCAAACTCATATGATTTGTTTATACACATGTCTTGGTATTAAAAAAAGATAAAATTTTCCAAGAGGAGATCAAATAAACTTTGTCTTTCTTTTCGGATTTCAATAAATTAAATTTCACATTGTTTTCCCATTTCTTTCTTTTTATCTAATTCTTTTTGTCATTATTGTTGTCATCCCCTTTAATGTTCCAGTATACAGAACCACTATATTCCGCATCAAATGATCCGATAAAACCACCTAGTTTTACAACCGCCACAACAAGACCCGGCCAACACTATCCTTACGACCCTGAATTTTACCATAATTCGACGGCAGTATCATGGCAACCACCAAATTACTCCGAAGTGCAACCCACGGTAGACTACCCTGGTAGCAGCCACTCATTAGCACCTTCAAGACCACGAATCACGACATCACTCTGGGACGATGAGGGCACTGTTTGTTACCAAGTTGACGTTCGTGGAATCTGCGTTGCCCGTCGTCAAGGTAATAATAGTAATAATAATAATAATAATATATACGCTAACCCCTCTCTCATTTTTCAGATAATGACATGATAAACGGAACAAAGCTGTTGAATGTCACAGGCATGTCCCGTGGCAAACGCGATGGGATCCTTAAAAATGAAAAAGGACGTGTTGTTGTAAAAGTTGGCGCCATGCATTTAAAAGGCGTTTGGTAAATAGATCAAACATAAGTCATTCATTATATTCATCATCTAATAGGGTTACATTTGCGAGGGCCAAAGCTTTAGCCATTCAGTACACGATTGTTGATTATCTATATCCTTTATTTGTTGATGATCCAGCCATGTACTTTTACTCCAATCAATTAACTCAAAACTACTTTATTCCTAATCATCCTATTTATTTGCAATCCCAAGATTCATTTACTCATAGCACTCATTCATACAAAAATACTATTAATAACGATAATAATGATAATACCAATAACAATAATCATCAGCATCGCCAGCATCATCATTCTAATGAAAATACAGCAACAGCAAATACTACAAACATTCCAACGGCATTAACAGCAACGCCAATACCAACTACGATGGCAGCAACCGCTCCTTCGTCAACGGCTGCTACAACGCTTGTGTCTGTATCCAATATTATGAATGAACCCTTAATGAATTATCCCATTTTTTCCAACGATTATTATTTAAATCAGCAACCAATCATTGAAGAGTTACCACCTGCGCCGTCTGTTCCGTCTATGCTACCTTATTCCGATGACGCCCGCTATTATGCTTAATCAATCGACCAATATTATTTCCATGTACCATATATATACACACATATATACGTATTAAACATATCCCTACATTGAATAATTATTATTATTATTAGTACTATTTTAGCGCACACACGCGCGCACGCGTAATTTAAACCATCCAGTAAGGGAAAGTTTTATATTAAATAATAAACTTTTTATGATTTTCTAAAGTCAAATACACTTTCAGGCTTATTGCCTAATATTCTATCTATTTCATGCATCACATCTTCTGTTAATAAATGACGAATATTCAGCGCTTTAATGTTCTCTCTAGCCTGTGCAGGTGTAGATGCACCAATGATGACTGATGTTACATTCTCATTCTTCAGGCACCAGGCAATTCCTAATTGTGCTGGTGTACATCCTAGTCGGTGTGCAATAGCCTATGTACGCTGATTTGTTTGTAATCTTATATTCACACACACACAATGTCATATTTTCACTTACACACACCATCTTTATCTTTTCCAATTTTCTTCTTCCTTCTTCACTAAAGAATCCTGCTCTTAGTCTATTGATCACTGGATGATCCTGGATGGAGAATCGCGTATAGGGAGGAATGATGCCATCATTGTATTTCCCACTCAATAGACCTTTTGTACAACAGGTGAGAAAATTACGCTGCAACCAGACACAATAAGGGGGCATGTTTCATGTTTTGTATACCTGAGGCTAAAGGTGACCATGTGCATGTACCTAGTTTGTATTTCTGGAACATTGGCAAATACTCTTTTTCTACTCGCTCTCTATTCAGCATATTATACTGTGGTGACTAAAGAAGGTTTTAATATTCTGCTATATCATATGCTGCTGTTGATATTACTTCTGTAATGGGCGCTATTAGGTTCAATCGGGCAGCTACATGCATTGCTTCTGTAATCAAATAAGCCGGCCATTCACTTGTCCCCCAATAAAGAGCCATGCCTTTATCAATACACCAGTTGAATGCACGCACAATCTCTTCCATAGGTGTATCAGGATCTGGAGAAAGGTAGGATAAGTATTTTGGTAAAAAGAAATCCCTTTGTCTCTTTCTCTCACCTGGCCGTTGTGCATACAGTATATCCACATAATCCAATTGTAGTCGCTGTAAGCAAGCCACGGTGCCTTCAAACACATGCTTTCTCGATAATCCTCTATCATTAGGTCCTTTACCTCCCCAAAAGACCTTGGTAGAGAGGACATAATCCGAGCGTCGAAGTCCTGGTTGGTTTCGTAAGGCTAAACCCAAGTCGATTTCGGCTTGTCCGCCTTTATCATTGTAAGTGCCACTTGTTGTCTCGTTGTTATATTTCATTTACCAGAGTGACTTTCTGCTACATCAAAGTGATTGATACCTAACTCTAATGCTGTCTTTACAATCTCAGTAGTTTGTTCTATATTTCTTTTTAGTATACAACATGTACGCATGTGTCCCGAATTTACCAGGAGAGATTTGTCCACCTAAAGTTTGTTACTTTTCGTCTTTTCAAGGGCAAAAGATATGGCTTTTTTATATATATTTTTACCAAAAGTTATCCAAGAACCTAAAGAAAGTACACTCACTTTTAAGCCCGAGTTGCCTAAATATCGATACTCCATTATTAAAGAAGAAAAAAAAAATATTTTATTATTCACAAGCTTCTGTTTCACAATTTTTTTAAGAAGGGCATTTATCGGGAATAGGTAATGGTATAGATTGAGGAGGGTTATGTGGCTTCTTTTTCTGCTTTTTACATCGTTTTGTATCCATAGTGATATCTTCCTTTCCTGTGACTTTGGCTCCGTAGATCTTTAAGGTGACAGGTTGTGTCAAGTTTTCATGTTGTGACCAGTCGTCAACTATGCTTTGGAGATCTTGCATTCTGTCCGCTGAGTCATTCCTAAAGGAGAAAAAATTTAAGCAGCCATTCAATCATTTCTGTTTATTTAATTTACCAGACTTTGCCAGGGTAGCAGCAGGCCAACTGTCTTCGCGTCGTAAGGAATCGGGTCATGTAGGATGCTTCAGACTCATCTTTTCCTTTAGGGCCTGTGAGTTCGAGTATCCTTGGAAGATTGATGTATTTCTCAACATACTAATGAAGACATGTAAATGTTTTACATATAAAGACGGATAATTTATTATTACCTGCCAACCATGTTGAACAATAGTATCTATAAAAATATAAATTAAGATAACCTCATCTTTTTATGACATATAAAGTTATTACCATAAAAGATAGCTTTTCCAAGATTAGAATGAATGCCTACACTTGCAGCATACTTGAGTGCGGGCTGCAAATACATAGAATGTCCCACATCCAACTGCGTTTGAATAAAGACAGGATCATGACAAGTTGTCTTTTTCCATTCCTTGGCAAGCCCTTTGAGATGACTAGTATCATCTCGCTTAGGATCACCAAAATCATATTTTGTCAAATTTTGTAAAGCAGGCAAATATCGTCCAATGGATGCCTTGGGTTGTCGCTTTATGTATTCCTTTATAACCGCATAGGCATCATTTGTGCCAGTTGTGAAACCAATGTAACCGCTGGTAAAAGGGTTAAAGAGACACACACCTTTGAGGGCACTAGATCAACTTACCAAGTATAGCCACGGCAATCTCCCAAACGTTCTGCAGCCTAAGAAATAATGTAAATACGCTTATAGTGTATGTAGCAGGTTTCCTACTGGGCTACTGCCCAAGATAAAGCTTTAATGCAATAAGTTGACCAAAGCTCCAATGGGAAACCCGTATCACATGATCTTTACTGCGTAACCCATCACAGTGTTCCCATTTTCGAATCTAAAGAAACTCATTAACAGGAACACACAATTTAGTTGGCCCAACTTACACATTCGTAATCAACTCGGCCATTTTAACTGCCTCTGGATCCATAGACTGACTAGGTAAGTCACTAATATCATAGAATCTATTGTGGACAAGTTAGAAAAAAAGAAAAGAATGACTGGCAGCATATAATACATACGTAGTGCAATTCTTTAGCTTTATACCATGAAAGATACCATTTGTCGCTTTGCTACTATCCGTACATTGGCCATCATCTTTCAATTTGGAGAATTCAAATTTGGCGCAGTTAGCCTCTGTTGGCTTAAATAGATTGCCTGAGCAATATTCATTCTCTGCAATAGCAAAGGGCAATAAAAGTAATAAAAAGAGAGATCGAAGCATAATTGTGAAAAGAAGTGCAAGAATAATCCTGCCTTTTATAAGTTTGCTGCTAATTAAAATATTTCCAAATCAGGGCTTAATTTAAATACAGGGTCTTTTCAGGTCAGTAAAAAAAAAGAGGGTTCACCAAACTATCTTGTACGATTTGATAAATTTATATATTATTCTATTGTGCTTATCATAAATAACTACACTAGAACATCATTATAACCATTGCTTTGAGGTCACCTGGGCTTCGAGACAGTAAATAATCCCCTTCCTGTCCTCCAAACGCTTGTATGTTTATACATGTGACAGAAAGATAGCATTTCTCATTAAGGAGATAAAAAGGGTAATTACATGCAAAATTGATAATTTCTAAAACTAGTATGGGCAATATTTGCTGAACCTATGACTACATGGTCTATCATAGTGTCTATCAGTGATCCTCTACTTCGTATGAGAAGCATCATTTGAAGATCTTAACTTTGAACTTTAATGTCATTCGGAACTATCTCTGACAGTGTATATTTGATGACCAAGGATGATAACTTTAGACAACATTAGCTTTGTTTTATATAGCAGGCGTAGTTTTCATTTCTGTCAGTTCGCTGGATCATCCAACCATTGCCCTTGTTTGCATTTTAATTATCACCAGTAAAGGTTACAGGTAATACAATCTATCTTTTAATTGAGGAAAACGCTGACTTGAGGGCAGAATCGATTGAATTTTACAGTCTATTAGGTAACATATCTAAAGATTTTGATAGTAGTCAACAGCCTGCTATGGAGTTGGTACAGCTGATTCGTTTGCCTCAGACCTGTTCTCTGAAAAGAGTGAATAAGCTATCAAACTTGAAGGTAATCATACGGGTCTCAAGGAGCGTGTAACTCAGTTCAATTGGAAGCATATCTGATGACTTATAAATAAATTCTGCGTTCAAAAACTTGTGGAAATTGACGTTGTCTGTAGAGCCAATGTCTCGTTAAGAGTCATATTGATTACTGTTGATAGCACAAAGGTAATTGAATTTTGATGGCAAACCTTGCTTAAGAGCTTTTTCTTTGAGGTTCGCAGCTTTATCCTAAAGAAAGGCTCGAGGAAATGGTATTTTCATATGTTCCCCTCCGTACTTGCAATGGCTATTGGGATT